CAAGCACACAGAATAGCTGTCGCACTGATCGTGCTGGACTCGTTACTTCCGCTAAATGGTAAGAATAATTCCAGGCTGGTTTCGTCAATTAGTTCCGATCATTTACATAACATGGCTAAGCAAATTGCTGCAGGGTGTATCTTCCTTACCCTTTTCAATGGGAGCCTCCTACATTCAATGTTCTGGAAGCATTTCCTATGATGGCTGCTTCTATAGTTTCTCTTTTTGAGGTATCCACTAATTCCTTAGCACACAAGTAATAAGAATCTCGTGCCACTCGTCATTGCAATTTCGCCTGTTAATCACTGGTTTGAAATTTGTTTTACTTACACTTTTCTGGTACATCCTATGCTGCTGCAAGAGTAGGAAGCTGGTTTACTAGCATTAACATAAGGTCACGAGGAGTCAGCTGCCAACCTAGTAGTGGCTAATCCTATCTTTAGGTGGAAATACTCAGGGCATAGTTAAAGTTTGGCTTGGAGTGTAATCCTATCATATGGATTGTATTCAAGATTGGTTGAATATAAGAAACTCTTGTCCTTTGTGTAGGTTTCAATTGCCTACTATTTAACACAAGTGAATAATAAGAATTATGTTGCAGTTTTTTCTTACAATTTGTTTTATTAATTGTGGTTTTATTATGTGATGTTTAATGAATGTGTGTTTATGATTACTTAATCAACAAGTGTTTACTTGTTTTTCAAAACTATTTGTTCTGTGAATATTGTGTCACAATGATTATACAGGTGGAGGAGGCAAGTCTAGCAAAAGCCAGAAGCCAACACATTTTTCAGAATCTAACTCATTTTGGATTGCAAGGAAATGCAATCCTCCAGAAGCTTTCTTAGCTGCTTCCCAAGCTTCGGCTTCTTTGATTGACGTAGGACTTTTCTTATACGTCGCGTATACATACCGAGTTGAAATTGCAACCGAAAGAGTTAGGTTAGCGCGAGCAGCGTCGGCTTCAATGGCGCAGAGCTCTAATTCATTCATAAGAGCTGTGACAGAAGTATACTTAGCTATGATATTGTGCACATCAAAAGTTCGTTATAATAACTAAGTTATACGCTTATGTATAACGTATTTTTATAATCAGAGGAAAAATGAAGTTCTTTACCTGATAAATCTTGAGCACGAGAAGATGCAACCGCAACTCCTGGGATCAATGTCTTCTCATCGATTTCAATGCCCAATAAATCAAGATCTAGCCCAGAACCATAGCCAAATCTTTCTTCCGAGGCCGAGGCCTCTTCTCGAACAGCTTTAATATATAGGTAATTGATAGTAAAATGAGACAATTATAAACTATGTAACGCGATTGTGAAACAAACAACATAAAAGCGGACAAATCTCTCTACCTGAGTAAGGTAACTGAACGAATGCCCATCTTTCACCAAAAAGATCTTCGGGAAGTTTCGTGGGAAAGGGATTGTCTAATGGCAAAAGAGGCTTGAAACCCCCGTTTGAAAACCGGGATGTTTTGAATATACAGTCTCTCGAAGCGTTCCTCTAGCCATAAAAGTAATGACAAACACTGAAAAGAATCAAATGAAGCGCATAAGATATACATCGGTGCACCTCTGAAAAGGAAATAGAACCCAAATGAAACACAACCAAACTTTTGGATCCTCTAACTTAGCACCTGTCTATCAGGCTGTGTTTGAAATTGCAGACCTCATAATGTGATCCGCCACAACACGGTGGCCACCAACACTACGATGGATTATGATTGCAAACCACCAGTGTGTTTGCTTTATTGCTAGCACGCAGTCAATTTTCAAAAGCGTGTTAACGACAAAACAACAGACGGCCATTGACTCAACAAGCACTTGGCCTCTTCCAATGCTAATACAAATAAGCCACACATCAATCTATGAAAATTGCAAATTCGCAATGCAACTACAACTACAACCTTAATTTAAAACCTCAGTAACTTTCTACATCATGGGATACTGCAATTATGGACCTGTTTCCTTGAGCTTTTTTTCTTCCTATAAATAGTTTAAGTGATTAACCAGAATATGGATTTTACATGCAAAACCTATTTTCAGAACCTATTTTCACAACCTTCGCCTAATGAACAAGTTAAGCTTTTCAACCCAAGGTCTGTCATGAACATTTCTATCATTAAGCAAACCTATATAGTTTTCAGCATAGCAATGAAATTTCACATGAGCAGCAAAATCTGAAATCAACTCACTTGTTTACTAGGAAGAGTTGTTATATCAAGCTCCTTACACGCTTTTGTAATAATCGTCTGCATTTGTGCCCTACAAAGAACAAAAGTACAACACTTCATCAATATTCCTAACTCTAACATCAACGCCAAGCAAAACAATGTCTTAAGATAACATTAACCAGATACAATCTAGCAAGATATGATAATAATACAACACATACGCCATGTTTTACACAGGACCGTCTATAAAGACGTGCAAGGCATACTATTGCACATGCACGGTCCAAAATTCGTCCCAGGTAGGACCTCATAAAATATTTGTCCTAGCAATATAGGCCCCTATTTGTTTTGCAAACGGTTGAACATCGCCTAACTTACACAGAGTCTCCAAAATTTAAACACGGCTTTGGTTTTAACTTTTGCGCATGGTGCATATTAAAAGCAAATACTCGTAGAACAGAACATCACAACATGTAAACTTTCATTCTACTAAGTCTTAGGTAACAGTTTTGACAGAAAAAAAACTACTAAAAGTACAATATAGTGAATCAATTTACCTATATTGAAATCTTACTGCCAACATATGTTGTTTGCTGTGAGGCATCTTGAATTTTTCGTATGTCTTATCTCGTCAACCGCCAATAAGCGGAGAATTTAAGAACAGTTGCAGCTTGATACAAGTCTTAGACATCCATGCATGCATTAGTTTTCAAATTCTCTCACCTCAATTTCCTTTCCCTGCTCAAGAGTTTCCTAAAGTTGCAAAAAGAATCTCAATTATATGATAGAATAAATAAAGTTAACTTGAAGCTTAAGTTTTCAAGCATAGATTATTGGAATTCTTAAACAAATGGGAACCATGCCAGTATGGCCAGTGTGCTGCATATGCTCCTGTTCCTCATCCCACCATGACTCCCAACTCTTGTTTGAAGGAACACCAATACCACCTCGATTACTAATCCATTTAGTCCAATCATCCCAGTCCTCAACTATCTTCTGCCACTCAAATCCTGATGGATTTAAAAGGCAAGGCGCAAACAACCAAGAGCAAACCAAAAACCACATTGACCATGACAGAAGAGCATATGCTGCTGAGTCAGGTGTTGCTGATCCATAAGAGATTCAGAGTTAAACTTTGTGGTATATTTAAGTTGTTGGTGATTCTTATTTGTATTGAAGTTATGAAATCTGCATGTTTTGGTTTGGACTGTGTCGTGAGCGTGCGGTTCACATTGTTTTTATTCATGTTATGAGTTTATGACCACCTCTTTGTAAATAACTTGTAAGCTATATGAAGTCTTGGTATGCTGAAATTTGTGCAGCCTGCTTGTAGCTTTGTGTGGAATTTGTTAGCATAGAGATAATTAGCGTACGGTCGAGATTCAGAAGTCTTAGTGTTATCCGTATAGTTATGTTACTAGCATTAACATAAGGTCACGAGGAGTGGCTAATCCATCTAACCTCATTCATATAAACAAAGACATCATCTCCATTCTAAATAACGTTGTCTGATTCAAATGATGGGATCTATCTACTATATAGTCTTCAGAATCTCCATTCTCAAGAAAAACCTGTAGCAAGTACACTCTGTAATTTTGGGAAGTTCTCAGTTTCCACTGCATGGAGAATTAATAGATGAATTTTAGTTTGAATTGTATGCTAGGATTTGGTTGTTAGTTCATCAGTTTCCATGATAACATTCTAATAGTTTTGTATTTGCTCTTGAAATGTTGTTAAAGGAATGCATTTTCATGATGCGTTTGCTTGTTTTCTCAGGAAAAACTAGGACATAATCTCAAAGTATTCTGCCGCTTAGCAACTTCTGCCAAAGAGATCGCAATCCAGAAGATTATTTAGTATATTTGAAGCATTCTTACAGCTTCCAAGTATATGAGCTAGTTAGTGTTTATAACAACTAATTAGGATGGCAAATCTCAGTTTACAATTCTATTTACTTTTGAGCCTATACCAGTATTATACCAAATGCAGGAGAATTAACACAAAAACTGTAACTAAGTTTACCAAATTATTTACAAAAACGTAAGGATGGAAAATCTTAGTTTACAATTCTATTTACTTTTGAGCCTATACCAGTATTATATCAAATGCAAGAGAACTAACACAAGAACCATAACTAAATTTACCAAATTATTTACAAAAACATAAGGCTCCTCAACTAAAATATACTGTAATGTTCTCAATAGCCGTAGTTGGTGCCATATACAAGACTATAATCTGTCAAAGACACATGTTATAAAGCACTTGATGGTTGAGATGCATAAATAGAACATGTGTTGAATACTTAAGTTGATTAGCAACTTTTGTGAGAATATTTGTGAAGTTAACAATTGGTCTACTATTTTTATTATAATGCATACTATGTATGCATTGACAAATCTGAGAGATGCTGTTTTTTCTGCATGCTTTGAGACTTGCCCTTTTTCTTTCAACAACAAAAGAAATTAAAAAAAAATTTGGAGGAAATATTTTGACCATTACAGTTACCTAATCAAACACATAACAAAATCTATAAACAAATTACAGTTACCTAATCAAACACAATGCAGCTAACCATTAAGAAAAACAATATCATATAAAGAGACAACCAACAACACAATATATAGTGGACACACCACGTTCATAACATTCGACAAATTGAAATCTCAGACTTAGACAAATGAAAAAAGAAAAACTCTAATCATAAGATGTCGAATGTTAACCGGAACAGAAAAAGTTTGATTGAGTGAATAGCCGAATATAAAAGTTACAACAACACACTGATCATCATTTAGGATCAATCACAGCGCCAAATCTTTCTGATTCAAATTATCTTTTTGTTGGAAGTATAATAAGCTGGAAGCTGATCATTGAATGCACCACGGTTAATATAATAACGCCGAGTGTTTTTAATTTCTGAGCGGACCTGTCTTAAGAAGTTTAATTGGGCAGCAACTATAGCATCGTGATCATAATCTATTGGATCAATTAAACGATCCCAATCAGAAGAATCTGAAACTGGCGGACAAGACTCAATTGGAGGAGTCTGAACTGGCGTGTCAACATACTTAACTGAGGGAAGTTCTGTTGCATCAATTATACGATCCCAATCCAGAGAATTTGGAACTGGCGGACAAGACTCAATTGGAGGAGCCTGAACTGGCGTGTCAACATACTCAAATGAGGGAAGTGGCGGCACATCCATGTTAGTCCAGGTAGGCTGTTGAGTCTGTGAATTTTGGAATGAAGGGGGCTCAAAAGTCATGGATCCATATATGGGGTCAGAAGAAGAGATATTTGACGCGGCATTAAAACCAGTTATAGGGTTATCATATCCATGAAGAAGGTTGGTGTTAAGAATCGGATCACATGGAGTAGACAACATAGGATATTGTCCATACTGATCAAATACATCCAGGACAGCAGCACTTCTGCTACTGGAAAAAAATCTTTGTTGAACTACTGCACTAGGCATGTATAAGGTATTATGAGACGAATCTGAGCACTGTCTAACCAAGTCGCTAATTGGTTTGTAATCTTGAGAATCAAAAAGTGGTGGCATCATATCTGGGCGGAATTTGTAATATTTAAGGTCCAAGTCAGATATATCAAAGTTGAAGGTTTCTGTTTCATCATGCTGGTTGGATTCATTTGGCAATGTGTCAGCACTTTCTTGACTGTCATTTAACGAATATTTGGACATTATCTCGTCAGGATAGATTGGTAAGCCATCTCGATTCCGTTTCTTAGATCTTGTGTACCAAAAGTTCTTTATCTCGTTATCTGTACGTCCAGGCAGCTGAAAAGAAAAGAAAGAGGACTAAGCAAGGAAAATATACTCGACAGAACATGTAAATAACAAGCTCAGTAACAGAACACATTTAAGTAATAATGTCCAGGAACAATAACTTGATGATCAAAAGTAAGATTTATTCAAATCATCATTTGAAGATGCATTCATATTGAGAAAAATGGTATTATATTCCACAAGAAACCAATGCAGGATATCATCTACACATTAATATTAACATAATATACACAAACAAAGTTAAGTTATTAGATATACCATTTTAGCCATATGAGCCCACTTGGTTCCCTTCAGAAAGTGACACTCAATGATTAGGCGTTCTTCTTCGGCAGTAAACGAGCCTTTTTTCACTCCTGGCCTCAAGTGATTTGACCATCGGAGACGACAGCTTTTCCCACAGCGAGCAAGTCCTGATTTCTTTTGGACTGCTTTCCAGTTTCCCTCTCCATGCTTTTTAATATGATCTTTCAAAATTTCATCCTCTTCATTTGTCCACGGACCTTTCTTTAGAGCAACTTCTCCTCTTTGATCAGCTTCTTCCTCCGGTAATATTGACCGGCTAAGCTTTGACCTTTTACCAACATCACTTCCACTTGATAATGATGACATTTTACGTTTTCGCGTCGAAGTGCTACCTTTCTTAAGAGCATTAACTGTTTGATCAGCTTCGATACCTTTCTTAAGAGCAACTTCTCCTCCACCCGCATTAACTGTTTGATCAGCTTCGATACCTTTCTTAAGAGCAACTTCTCCTCCACCCACATTAACTGTTTGATCAGCTTCGATACCTTTCTTAAGAGCAACTTCTCCTCCACCCGCATTAACTGTTTGATCAGCTTCGATACCTTTCTTTAGAGCAACTTCTCCTCCACCCGAGTTAACTGTTTGATCAGCTTCGATACCTTTCTTTAGAGCAACTTCTCCTCCACCCGAGTTAACTGTTTGATCAGCTTCGATACCTTTTTTTAGAGCAACTTCTCCTCCACCCGAGTTAACTATTTGATCAGCTTCTTCCTCCGGTAATACTGACCAGCTACACTGTGGACTTTTGCCACCACCACCCTGTTGTTGCTTTGAAGTACCACTCATGACTCAATATATCTAAAAAGTCACAAAGTTTGAAAATTTTAGCACATAATTAAACATTATTTCTCAAACGTAAAACAAAAAAAAACTCTTTTCTTTTCTAAAACATTCCACAATAGCTCTCTTTTTTAATATGCGTTTTCCGAATCAATCATTTACTCTAGAATAGTAGCATGAATTTTGTATATTTCTTTTATAATTTTTCTTTTTCATATTCTAGAGTAGCATGAATTTTGTATATTTATAGAATAGTAGCCTTACTCTAGAATAGTAAATCCCAACATGATGGCAACCAGGTTTGGAGTTACGGGTCCTGCTGACCCGGTCTGGCTTACTTACAAAAAAGAGAGGAGTAAATCCCTAAAATGCAAGGTTTGAACCCCCATCCCTCTTTCGGAAGGTAACACAATCATCCCTCCATTGCTAACAAACAAACCTATGTGAGAAACGAGTTCATCTACAACGATATCCCTTACCATTATTAAACCAAACTCTGTAAAATTAAACTTCTCTTCATCTTCTTCCCGTGACATCGGCGCCTCACACCTCTCTTTTTCTAGGTCACGTGAGCTAACCTCGCTATCAAGTCGTCTCCTTGATGTTCGACGCCATACCAGATGGAAAAAGGGTTGTCGCGCCATGTCCGAGGGCCGACGTCGGCGAAAAATATAATACTCACTCCTCTCGCTCTCTCTCGACTCTAGGTTCCGACAAACAACAACAATGCAACAAATTGTGCGATTGAAAAGAAAACTTGCAGAAATTAAATCAGGTGCGAATTTGAGACCAGTTTTCAATTGTTGCTGATTGGGTTTGTGCCTTCAATCTTTCCGGCGTGTTGTTTTTTTTTACTCTGCTCTTTCTGCTCGTAAATATTTATTTTTTCAGTTTTTAATTCTTATTTATAAAGCAAATTGTTAGCGCTAGTTTTTAATGAGTTTAAGACTCATTTGTTACCTTAATTTGAATATTTATTATCTAACTACAAAAGTGTTGAATTAAATCATAGCATTATTAATCTTAAAATTATGAAATAGAATTCTCACAAGGAATAAAATCAAATAGAAAGAAACAATAAACATAAATAATTAACTCTAAAAAATCAAATAGAAAAAAACAATAAACATAAATAATTAACTCTAAATATCTATGGAACCATTACATGAAAAGAAAATTGAAAAGCTCAAAGAAGTTAATAGAGCAATGACATGGAATATAGGCTAATTGTTGTGAGAGAAACAAAATTCTGATTAATTGAAGAGAATGGAAGTGTTGAAGTGATACTAATTATGTTTTTTAAGGGTGACTAGGGTTTTATATTAATGGGAGTAAACTAAATGGATAAATTAAAATATTTTTTGTGGGCCCAAAGTGTTGACTTCATATTTTTTATTTTTTATTAAAGTTATCATTAATTTAATTATTTTTATTAAAATGCATATAATTTTTTAAATAAAATTTACCTTAAAAACTTAGAAATAATATTAAATATATTTTATTATAAAATTAAAAATATACAAATTTCACAACAATAATATATAAAAAAAATTACATTTTTAATACTTTCTGGCAATAAAACAAAAACCAAAAACCAAAAATCATAGACACGTGTTAATCACATTTCGCAAAAAAAAAATCTCCAAGTTACAATTTTTTCTGAACGTGTTCAAATTATAAAAGAAGGAAATTCAATTTTTTTTTTAGGCATGAAGATGGAAAATGACAGAGGTTCTTGAAACCCATAAAATTCTCAATTCATCCACTTTTTAAGGTGTCAGTAACAATTTTTGTTGCAATAACAAGGATTAAATTAAAACCTACACGGTAATCATGGAAAGATAAATACAAATCCTTAGCATTTGGCATTAGTACACCATGTTACTACTTTTTTTTTAAGTACACACATCCTAGAATAGAATAAAGCACTTGTTAACGCCATTAAAAGAGCACTTGAGCATCTTGGCTAATTAATCTTCTTTAATAGGCTATGATAGAAATTATAATATAAATGCATTAATGAAAAAATGACTAATTAATCTTCTTTAATAGAAATTAGATATAAATGCATTAATGAAGAAATGAGCATAGTTTTCTTTACCATTTATATAAATATTATGAGGAATATACGCTAATTATTTTTCTTAAAGATTAAATTTGTAAAAATAATATAAAGCAAATTGTTAGCGCTAGTTTTTGAATGAGTTTAAGACTCATTTGTTACCTTAATTTGTATATTTATTATCTAACTATATATTTATTATCTAACTATAAAAGTGTTGAATTAAATTCTAATGTTATTCTTCTTAAAATTATGAAATTGAATTTTCGAACAAGGAATAAAATCAAAGAGAAAGAAACAATAAACATAAATAATTAACTCTAAAAAATCAAATAGAAAGAAACAATAAACATAAATAATTAACTCTAAATATCTATGGAACTATTACATGAAAAGAAAATTGAAAAACTCAAAGAAGTGAAGAGAGCAATGACCTGGAATATAGGTTCTGGTTGTTGTGAGAGAAACAAAATTCTGACTAATTGGAGAGAATGAAAGTGTTGAAAGTAATACTGATTATGATTTTTAGGGGTGATTAGGGTTTTATATTAATGAGAGTAAGCTAAAGGGATAAATTAAGATATTTTTTGTGGGCCCAAAGTGTTGACCCCATATTTTATATTTTTTATTCAAGTTACCATTATTTTAATTATTTTAATTAAAATGCATATAATTTTTTAAATAAAATTTACCTTAAAAATTTAGAAATAATATTAAATATATTTTATTATAAAATTAAAGATGATACAAAATTCACAACAATAATATATAAAAAAAAATTACATTTTTATAGAGAATACCATATGACCCTCATGATTTAACTTTAATCCTTATGTTTTCTCTTCAACAATATATTGGCTAATTAATCTTTTTTAATAGGCTATAATAGAAATTACAATATAAATGCATTAAGGAAAAAATGAACGTAGTTTTCCTTGCCATTTATATAAATATTATGAGGAATATATTGGCTAATTAATTTTCTTAAAGATTAAATTTGTTAAAATAATATAAATTGTTAAATAATTTATCATAATAAAACATGCGGAGCATTAAAATAGAGAATTAGTTAGTAATGCAGTTTTGTTCATCTTTTAATTTATTTATTTATGTAATCTTTAGTGACTCTAGTTTTATTCCTTTATCTTTAACTATTAACATTTTTTAAAGATAAATAATTAAATAGTAAATATTTAATTTATAGAAGTATCATAGTAATAATTCTTTGGTAGCACTTTCTTAGTGCAAAAAAATAGAATAGTTTGTTTGATTGTGTGAGATAACATTTGATAAATATATATTCGGTAACATTTTGAATAATTTTTAATTTTTTTTTGAATTATATATATATATATATATATATATATATATATATATATATATATATATATATATATATATATATATATATATATATATATATATATATATATATATATATATATATATATATATATATATATATATATATATATATATATATATATATATATAATTTTAAATTATGTATTTATTTATATTAAAATTATTAATAATAAATATTTAAATTAATGAATATCAAAATATCTTTTACTCTAATTTAATAATAAATATTAAATTAATGATGGTAATTATTATGATGTTTTGCATCATTCATTCATAGCATAATTTAGGACTTCGGTCTAATGGCGATGTTAGGACTTCGGTCCAATGACGATGTTAGGACTTCGGTCCAGTGGTGACTTCAATCCCATTGCGTGGATTGAAGTGTTTAGGACGTGCTCCGGTTCCAATGGGGAATCGATCCTATGGTGGAGATCTTTGGAGGGTGATGATCCAATGTCCATCAAATGAATTGGTACCACATGCACTGTGTTGTTGCATTTCATACTATGTTGCATTGCATATTTGTGAATAAACGATGTTATTGATGACGTGATTTTAAGTGATGTACGACGATGATGACTTAGTGATGATTATTTTGTTTGACGATACTATGACGGTGTAAATGAACTGTTGATATTGTTGTACTTGTATATCTTTTTCTTTATATCTCGTATAATGATTTGTGATTATTCACCCTGCCTATTTGAATGTTGTCTCAACGTGGGTAACGTGCAGATGATTAGAATTAGCTCTCTTGGTGCGTAGAGATTTAGCATTTGGAGTTATTTAGTTTTATTTTCGTTAAATTTAAAAGGTGTCTTGCTCTGATATCTAGCATCGGGTCGGGACGTCCTTGAATATGTTTTAGTTTTTATAGATATGATGGCACTGTGATTTTTACTATTTTGACGTTTTTGATTTAATTACTTAATATTATAATTTTCGCTGCATAGTAGTTTTGATTGAATTTTTTTTTGAGTGAAAGAACCCGTATTATAGAGCATAGTATCATTTAGATGCTTTATGACTAAATGTGACACCCTTTTGATAATTTACTCTAATTTGTTTATTTTTAGTTAATTATTTTATTTGTGAGTATTTTGTGGACTAGAAGAGCCTTACACCTCTGCCTTCTCTCAAGGGACTGTCACATTCTCCTTTGTGACATGTATTAAGCGTTGATTCTAAAAGAATGATTACCAGAGAATTTAAAAAAATTAATGAGTACCAAAGAATTTAAAAAATTCATCAAATTGCGCATATCAATAAATATAGTTGATTACATTTAATGCATGCAATCCACATAAAAAAATCAAATCTATATAGTATAAACTTTATAAAAATTGAGTTTTAATTTTAGTCATTAGAAACAAAAATAAAAGTTTTGTTAAATTAAAAGTATTAAAAGATACTAATATCAACGTATTGAAATTTATTAATATTTAACTATTTATCAACTATATGTATTAAACATTTATTATTTAATTATTTGATTTTAAAAGAATGTTAATAGTCACTAACGATTACATAAATAAACAAATAAAAATATGAACAAAACTGCAATAATAACTAATCATCTATTTTAATGCTTAATTATTTTTCTGCATATTTTTGTGATTATTACCTTAGTTTATATAAACCACTTTAATTAAAAAAATAGATGTAATTGATAAATTTGTTAACAATTGATTTTTTTTTACAAATTTAATCTTTAAGAAAAATAATCAGCCAATATATACCTAATAAAGATTTATTATAAATTGTAAAAAAGAAAAATACATTGGTTTCTTCTGCATTTATATCAGAATCTCTATAGTAACTTATAAAGAAGATATATCTGAATCTTTATTATTAATGCATTTATATCTGAATTTATTATAGGTTGTAAAAAATATATAATTATAATGAATTTCAAAATTTTAAAAAGGTTTTATAAAAAAATATAAAGAAAAGATTCAAATCATCAAACCCTATATTCTCGGCAACAACTTTGAATTTTTTTGGGAAGTTTCCACGTAACAGGGAGTTTGTTATTCAAATCATGAAGCTATATATACAACAACTCAATTCAATAACGTGACTTCATACATTTTCAAGAGTGCAGAGTTCATCATGGATGAATATGATTGTAACGCACATCCACATATGTTTTCAACCGATTCTGATGAATTATGCGACAATGATCCGTATATCAATATAAAATTCGATTACACCATTATTAGTGTTCCGAGTGATCAAATGTTTCCTTATTCAAGTGAAACTAAATCTTATGGTCTTTATTATGTGTCGAAAGATAAAGAAATCCTGAAAACTAGTGTTATAAAGTGGCTTCCTGAAATTGATGTTCCTGAAGCTGCTTTTACCATGGTGGTAACAGAAATTTCACGATGTGTATGTGAGATGGTTGATGGGGCATATAAGAACTCGAGGAATCTTTCTATTAGAGTTGATTTTTCTGTTACACGGAATTTGAAAGAAGAGGAAATAAAGGTAGAAGAAGATGAAGTTAATACATTGGTTCATGCTGCTGCAAGGACTATTGAAGATGACCCCAATGAAATTGGTTATCAAGATGAAGATTATCAAGATGAAGATGACCCCAATGAAATTGGTTATCAAGATGATTGGGAGTATTATTGGGCTGAGGAGATGGATATTGAAGTACAAGAAGATGATGAGTTAAGAAGGACGGTTGAAGATTATCAGAATGAAAATGTTAATGGAGATACACAGAGCTACAATTGGGAAGAGAATATGGGAATTGAAGATAACATGTTTGTTAATGACGTTGAAGGTGACGAAGATGAATGGGAATATGGCTGGGAAGAGGGAATTGAGACTGAAGAAAATATTAGGTTTGTTCCTGCGGTTAAATCGTGTATTGAGGATTTGAAGACGGTAACAACCAAAGAAACAGAAAAATGTAGTATTTGTTTTGAAGATTTTAAAGTTGGTGTCTGTATGCCATGTTCACATATGTTTCATATGGATTGTATTCAAGATTGGTTGAACATAAGCAACTCTTGTCCTTTGTGTAGGTTTCAATTGCCTACTATTTAACACAAGTGAATAATAAGAATTATGTTGCAGTTTTTTCTTACAATTTGTTTTAGTAATTGTGGTTTCATTACGTGATGTTTAATGAATGTGTTATTATGATTACTTAACCAACAAGTGTTTACTATTTGTTCTGTGAATATTGTGTCACAATGATTATACAGGTGGAGGAGGCAAGTCTAGCAAAAGCCAGAAGCCAACACATTTTTCAGAATCTAACTCATTTTGGATTGCAAGGAAATGCAATCCTCCAGAAGCTTTCTTAGCTGCTTCCCAAGCTTCGGCTTCTTTGATTGACGTAGGACTTTTCTTATACGTCGCGTATACATACCGGGTTGAAATTGCAACCGAAAGAGTTAGGTTAGCGCGAGCAGCGTCGGCTTCAATGGCGCAGAGCTCTAATTCATTCATAAGAGCTGTGACAGAAGTATACTTAGCTATGATATTGTGCACATCAAAAGTTCGTTATAATAACTAAGTTATACAGAGGAAAAATGAAGTTCTGTACCTGATAAATCTTGAGCACGAGAAGATGCAACCGCAACTCCTGGGATCAATGTCTTCTCGTCGATTTCAATGCCCAATAAATCAAGATCTAGCCCAGAACCATAGCCAAATCTTTCTTCTGAGGCAGAGGCCTCTTCTCGAACAGCTTTAATATATAGGTAATTGATAGTAAAATGAGACAATTATAAACTATGTAACGCGATTGTGAAACAAACAACATAAAAGCGGACAAATCTCTCTACCTGAGTAAGGTAACTGAACGAATGCCCATCTTTCACCAAAAAGATCTTCGGGAAGTTTCGTGGGAAAGGGATTGTCTAATGGCAAAAGAGGCTTGGAACCCGTTTGAAAACCGGGATGTTTTGAATATACAGTCTCAAAGCGTTCCTCTAGCCATAAAAGTAATGACAAACACTGAAAAGAATCAAATGAAGCGCATAAGATATACATCGGTGCACCTCTGAAAAGGAAATAGAACCCAAATGAAATAAACCAAACTTTTGGATCCTCTAACTTAGCACCTGTCTATCAGACTGTGTTTGAAATTGCAGACCTCATAATGTGATCCGCCACAACACGGTGGCCACCAAAACTACGATGGATTATGATTGCAAACCACCAGTGTGTTTGCTTTATTGCTAGCACGCAGTCAATTTTCAAAAGCGTGTTAACGACAAAACAACAGACGACCATTGACTCAACAAGCATTTGGCCTCTTCCAATGCTAATACAAATAAGCCACACATCAATCTATGAAAATTGCAAATTCGCAATGCAACTACAACTACAACCTTAATTTAAAACCTCAGTAACTTTCTACATCATGGGATACTGCAATTATGTACCTGTTTCCTTGAGCTTTTTTTCTTTCTATAAATAGTTTAAGTGATTAACCAGAATATGGATTTTACATGCAAAACCTATTTTCAGAACCTATTTTCACAACCTTCACCTAATGAACAAGTTAAGCTTTTCAACCCAAGGTCTGTTATGAACATTTCTATCATTAAGCAAACCTATATAGTTTTCGGCATAGCAATGAAATTTCACAGGAGCAGCAAAATCTGAAATCAACTCACTCGTTTACTAGGAAGAGCTGTTATATCAAGCTCCTTACACGCTTTTGTAATAATCGTCTGCATTTGTGCCCTACAAAGAACAAAAGTACAACACTTCATCAATATTCCTAACTCTAACATCAACGCCAAGCAAAACAATGTCTTAAGATAACATTAACCAGATACAATCTAGCAAGATATGATAATAATACATCATATACGCCATGTTTTACACAGGACCGTTTATAAGGGCGTGCAATATAGACCCTCATAAAATATTTGTCCTAGCAATATAGGCCCCGATTTGTTTTGCAAACGGTTGAAAATCGCCTAACTTACACAGAGTCTCCAAAATTTAAACACGGCTTTGGTTTTAACTTTTGCGCATGGTGCATAATAAAAGCAAATACTCGTAGAACAGAACATCATAACATGTAAACTTTCATTCTACTAATGTAACAATCACTACAAGTCTTCGGTGACTCTTTTGACAGAAAAAAAAAACTACTAAAAGTAGAATATAGTGAATGAATTTACCTAAAGAAGCGAATGTTTTTTGGCAAAGGTAGATCCAAATCATCACAAATCCCAACAATAGAATCCTTAAGAGTGATACTGTTAATAACATTATTAGGAAAATACTTAGTATATTGAAGTGAAAGAGATTTATCACAAACAACAAGCTCCCAAAGTTTCTTTCCTCTAGCATCAAGAATGGGTCTAGAACAGAAATCCAACTCCCAGCTTAATATCTTAGCAGGATCAGTTTCTGGGTCAAGATAACATGTTTCAGCAGTTGGGTCTTCTTTGTCTTGTTCGGTTTCTATCTGGGTTGTTTCTTTGTCTTGTTCGGTTTCTATCTGGGTTGTTTCTTTGTCTTCTTCGGTATCTATCTGGGTTGTTGTTACTGAGGTTTCTGATACAGAACATGTTCGGAGTTGAAGGAAGGGTTTTTTGTTGGTGAAAAATGGGAATTTGATGGTGGGTTTTGATGAGGAGAGTTTGGTGATGATGGAGTTGGGGTAGTTGAAAGATGGGGTTTTGATTGTCGTGGAGTTGAAGCTTAGAGTAGCCATGGTTATGGCTATGGTTTGTGGAACTCGTTAGTTTGTGTGGTTGAGGTAGTTATCCATTGTTGTATGTTTTGGTTTTTTTGGGTTTTTTTTTTAAAACCATATGTAGAGAACCGGATCAATATATTGATTGGTTTTTCGATTGTTACTATTTTGTTAGGGGTAATGCTAACTTTAGTTTTGGGGTACATGTTAAAAAAATCCACAAATAAAAAATAAATATTGGAAAAAGTAATAAAATCATTAATATTAAGTTTGTATTAAATTTAATACACAATTTTTAATAAATTTTTACTATATTAATCACTTAACTTGTGTCTGCCTCTGCCTCAGAGACACAAATTAGCATTGTTCTTTTGTTATAGGCAGCACTTAATAATTTAGGGACATTAGAAGTGTGAAAAAAATTGGTTGTATCTTTTTTTTTATTATAGAAAAGTTATTTTTTTTTAATAATTTGGGCCTAAACCCAAAAATCCATTAAATGAAAAAGATAAATAGGTACAAAAATGAGGGGGACGAAGAGCCTAAACCTCAAACCTATCTGATTCTAAAATTAGGTAAACCTAACCGGTTTCTATAAAAGTCCGGTTCTATATCCTGATGTACATCATTCTACCAAATAAAGTTAGAGATATTTAAACCTATGTTAGCCAATTTATCGGCACAGTGGTTACCTTCCCTGAAAATATGGGAAGCCAAAAAATTACAATTACCAAGGGTAGTCGTACAGTTGTCCCATCTATTCCTGATCTTCCAGGGCACAACAGATGGTTTACTAAACGCCATCACAACGAGAGATGAATCCGATTCTAGCCAAATATTTGTCCAACTCGAACTAAAGCATGCTCAATAGCCAAAATAGCTCCCATCAGCTCAGCAAACAGTGATTTAACAGAGCCTAAATTACAAGCAAAACTTTCAATGTGATTCTCGAAGTGATCTCTAAAGACCCCCCCACAAGTCGCGTTTATTGGATCACCGCCGGATGCTCCATCAATGTTGACTTTAATCCAACCATTTGGGGGAGGATTCCAAATGACTTCGACACACATCTTGGGATTAACCGGATTAATATAGAAAACTTTTTCAGAACTTGAAAATCCCCAATGTCCATAGAAGATGCTCCTTTGAAAGAATTTCCAGCCAGCTGGGAAGTAGCATAAATAGATGAACATGTAGTTCTCCAAGGAATAAACCTGTTTTGAATCCGAGCATAATTTCGAGCCCGCCAAATGCCATTAACCACAGCAATAATCGAAGCACGGTACACTACCATACATTGCGCAACACCAGATTTATGCGTTGCAATGAAACAATCTTGCATATCTGAAAAGCTAAAATTAACATTAAGCATATCGCGTAGCCAATTCCAGATCCTCCCAGAATACTCACATTGAAAAAAAAGGTGATTGATATTTTCTTCTGTATGTAAACAAAGGTTGCAAATAGAAGGGTCTGCCATACCGCAATGTCGGAGAACTTCATCCGTAGGAACACGATTCTTCATAACTCTCCAAAAGAGAATAGAATGAGAAGGAGGGATGTTTGAGTGCCAAATTAAATTGCCCCAAACACAAGCATTTCCGCTATGCTTGCAGTAAGAATACGCATCCTTGACAGTGATATCGCCGCTGTCAGACCTGGACCAAGCGAGCCAATCTTCCTTCAAACAATTGACATAAATATTTTCCACCATCCATGGAAGCTCAGGACAAATACTGATCAGCCCCGGTGGCAAGTGAAACGAATTGCCGCTTAAAATGAAGCTCAGATCAGCCTTCAGCAGCGCCAGCTGAGCATCCGAAAGATGGAGCGATGAACTCAAGGGATTGCCACACCAGTTATCACGCTATAAATTAATTTTATTGCCCTTTCCAATCATCCACATAGAATTCTGCAATAAGTCTTCCAAAAATTCAGCACAACCTGTCCAAACAGACGAGAAAACGTGTGATTTACGCACCGAGTCTTTCCTTAAAACTCTAGCTTTTACAATCGAAGCCCAAGTATCAATCTCATTCATAATACACCAGCACTGAACCAAACGATTTGCTTTGTTAAGAACACGAAGAGAGCGATACCCAACCCTCCATCCTTACGGTCCTGACAACAAACTTTCCAAGCCACCGTAGCCATCTTTTTTTGATTGATATCACCACTCCATATAAAGTTCTGACACCAAGTTTCAATTTGAGAAAATTGTTCTACTTTTAAAAATTCAAACCAAATGGTAAAATATAAATTTGGGAAAATTTTACCTCATACCATCCTTTATTCCTCTACCCCTACATTATATTTTTTTGACCAAAGTATCCTCATATAAATATGTGTAAACTTTTCCTGGTTTAATTATTTGATCTAGAATTTAATAAATAAATCTATTATTAAAAACTACTTTATCAATATTCTCAGCAAACATGACAAAGTATTATATATCTATACTATTATATGATCTTATAATGTCTCCATCAAAAATTTTCCGCTAAGTTTTTTTTCTTTAATTAATTAATTAAACATAAATATAACTTTGTGGGAAAAAATGTATAAATTGATGAAATATAAATTTGATTAGTGAGAAGATAACTTTGTGGAAAAAAATGGAATAAAGTAATGAAATTAGTGGGGGCTATAAAAAACTTTAAATTTTGTGAAAAAAATGGAATAAAGTAATGAAATTAGTGGGAGCTATAAATTTTTTTAATTATATTTTTGTATTAATTTATTTATGTCTTATTTATTTACTTTTTTATTTTATTTTTTAATTTAATATTACTATGTGTCCTATTAATGTGGGGTTAGAAAGATGTTATGAGTGGAGAGAAGTTAATTATTTGTATGATATGAATAGAGAGTGTTTAGTGGAGAGAAATTTGAGAAATAAACATGTTAAATATTTTAATTTAATTACTATTTAATTAATAATAATAATAATATTTAATTATTAATAATAAAAAATTAATTAATAGAATAAAGAGAAAAGTTATGCTAGATAGTTACTATGTTAACATATTATTGGTGGGTGACTGCATTTTTTTTTAAAAAAGACGTGTTTTATTGTATTTGTTAATTAATATTTATTTAAAATATAAGAATGTGACTTAATCGGAAGTTTTAAATGGAGTTAATAATAAATATATTTATATTTAATTAATTAATTAGAGGAAAAAGTTTTAGCGGAAATTTTTTGATTGAGACATTATGAGATTATATAATAGTATATTACCATGTTTGCTAAGAATATTAATAATGTAACTTTTAAAGATAAATTTATTTATTAAATTACGGATCAAATAATTAAATTAGAAAAAATATATTAAAATTTGATTTGGCATGTGTAAGAAAATATACTAAAATTTGATTTGTTGAATTTGACTATAGTTTTTATTTAGGAAGTTTTACCCCATACCCCTACACTTATACCTATACCCCTACATTAAAAAAATTTGGACCAAAATATCCTCGTATAAAAATTTATTATTTTTTAATTTTTTTAATATTTTTTTATTTGTTTACCGGAAGACTTTTTGGAAGTCTTCCGGTTCACGTTTTTTTAGTATGTTTACCAGAAGACTTTTTGAAAGTCTTTCGGTACATATTTTTTTTGTTTACCGGAAGACTTTTTGGAAGTCTTCCAGTTCATGTTTTTTTTTTAATTTGTAATTAATATTTAAGATTTATTAATTTTATATAAAGACCAATTTAGTAAATTTTTGAATATTATACTTAAAATATAAAAATTCTATAAATAGAGAATCATTTTCAGAATATTTTCTATTTACTATAATTATTAGAATACTAGAATTAAAATCATTTATTTTAAATGATCATAATAGTAGAATTTTCTCAAATATCTTATTAATCTTAAACATTAATAAATAAAATAAATTTAAATATAAGATATAAGTTTACATTATTCAATATATTTAATCAAATAAAAACATATGTGATAAATAAATAATGTATTTTAACTTAAAATGATCACAATAAATTAACTTGCAAAATAATATAAGTAATAAATTAATAATGTATTTTATTTAAAATAATCACAATAATAAAATACGCAAATAATGTGTTTTATTTATAGGACTGATATAGTTTTATTGATTATTTAATTTTGAATACTACTATGAATATAGTATTTAATCTATACTTTAGAACTCACATAATTATAAATATAAAAAATATTGTTTTATTACCCATATTTTTATTTAATTAAAAAAAATAAGAATATAAATTTATTATTTGTTTTTCATTTTTGTTTGATCTTTTTAATTATTTCACTTTATTTAATATTTTTAATAAAATAAATAATATATTTTATTTAAAGTAAGCACAGTATAGAATATGCAAAAAATTTATAAATAAAAAAAAGATCAAACGAAAATGAAAAACAAATAATAAATTTATATTCTTATTTTTAAATCTCAAAGATCAGTAAAGCTTTATGGAAAAATGATCATAAATATTTTAGATTTCTCCACCAATAGATAGTGGTTTTGAAATATACAAATATATTTATTATAACATATTAGTCGTCATTTTAAGTCCATATAATTTACTGAAGTTTTTATTTTAAAATTTTTATTTTCAGTTTTATTTTTAATTTTTTTTAAATTTTTTTTTAATTTTTAATTTTTTTGTTAGTTTCAAAGAAAAAATATATTAAAACCTAAATATTTAAATTTCAAAATTGGTATAATTTTAAAAAAATTAAATTTAAATTTAACTAAATGATTTGGATTAAAATTAAAATTCATTTAGAACCGATTTTAAACCGGTTTGGAACAAATAGTTTGATTTATAAACCATAACTATAAAAATGGTTTGATTTATAAATCATAATCATAAAAATGGATTGGTCCATATTAAATGGTTATCATGCACACTCCTAATGGACATGAAAAATATCTAGTTTATCAGTTACGTATACTAGTACTATTTTTATAGATACACTTTCATGAGTTAATCATTGTTTTTTACTTCTAAAGTAATCATTAGAA